CCCCAGGCAGAATCAGAACTGTCACTCAAATGATGCTCTGTAGTATTCCAATACTGTCATTTTATTTACATTTTGAGGCTCTCGTTTATCTGAGGTCAGGGCCAAGAGGCTGATAGTTGGAGCTCTCTCACAGCAGATTACTAAATAATTTTACATCTGGCTTCTACTTCTCCACATTTTTTGTGCACTAACAACTCTGCTGCAACTGGCACTTAAATTACCCTGTGGGTGCACAGACAATTAATTGCTGATCTTGCCTGAAATTATAATTTTTACTCCTGCTGTCTATTGTAGCAGCAGTACCAAAAAAAAAAAAAAACTTGTAGGAGTTCAGGCATTGTCATAATCTGCAGATCTAATGCCTCTGAAGGGCTTTTTCACACTCCATATGCTATGTAATCTGATAGTATAGAATGGGAATGTGGATTACAAATACACTTTCAATAGATATTCTATGTTTTAGCTGTTTGAAGTTTTTTTTTGTTTTTTTTTTGATGCTCAATATTGTAAGTCACTTTACTGATAAAGGCATTGGGCTACAACATTTTTCCATGTGAACTGTAGCCAATGCTAGAAAGCAGTTACCCAAACTTAAAATCGATAAGGACTGACACATTTTCATGTATTCCATTTGTTTATTTTTTCTTAACCATGTAAAAATTGCTATTTACAGATGGCTTGCTAGTCTTACTCTTTCTGAAGCCTTACTCGTTGCTGTTTGCATGCTGTATTTATCTTCAACTAAGTGAGCTCCTTTGCATTAAACTAATATATCTGTCCAGCTAATTCAAGTCCTTCACAATGCTGACTTTATCTAGCTACGAATTTCAAAGATCATTTAATGGTGTTTTTTTTTTTTTTTTTTCCTCTTATATGTTGATTATTTTCTTTGTCACTATTAGAGAAGGAAAGTTACTTGAGCAGGCAAAAATTTCTATCTTTCATCAAAATAGATCTTTTCAACCATGTCTAGCTAACTTGGATAAACACATATGGTGACATTTATGCACAGTGTTTAGGTGGCATTCACCTTCTTACGCCATTTTGGAAGTGTCTCTTTAAGCCTTAAAGTGTAATAAACCCAGGACCCTGGATTCACTATATCTGGTCTGCCACAGTATACAGAACATGGAAGTGCAATTATTTTAGTAACTATAAACTGCTAAATACCTTTTCTCATCCGCATTATATAGCAGTCTTGTGACTTCTATCAGTGTCCAGCTGAGAACTGGTTAACGCTTGTAGGAGGAATTTTCATTCTGCTTTTGACTGTCCCGTGAGGCTGCATGACTCCTGACACTTCTGTCTGGATAGTGCTGATTGGCCCTGTGTTGATCACATTAAAAAAAAAAAAAAAAGCTCTAGGAGATATGCATCACACTGAGCATGTGCAGAGTGCCTCCTAGGGTTCTGTACTCTCAGCAGATGGATTGGGGACAGTGAAAGAAGGGGAGGATCAGAGAAGACAGGATCAAACAGCCTTTTTACACATTCGATTGGGTTAACCCCTTAGGTTCCACAGTGAGAATAAAAAGCATGCTTTACTGCCTATACAGACTGATTTTACTGCTGTGGGTTAAGTAACCCCTTAAGGATTATTCTGTACATTGTAGCAAGCAGATTTTGCTTAGGTGCTCCTAAGAGAGGCCAGATTTCCTTTAGGCATACTTGTATTTAGATGTTGTAAAGGTGAGGCATTTTATATTTTTAAGGACAAGTTCACCTTTTACACGTCACTCTGCACTCACCAACTGAGTGCAGGGTGTTGTCTAAAATTCTTTCCTTCCTTCCTACCTAACAAAAAGTTCCCACCAGCTCCTGTTAGTTTGCATCACTACAGCCCCACTCCTTCCTGTGGGTGGAACATTCCTTATTGTAGCCATCCTATGAAATGAGGCTCATCAATAAGGATGAATAGGGCTGAGGCATGAGTGAGCATTAAGAGGAGGACCTGTCAGTGATGTTTTCAGGAGAAAGACTGTGTGATACCAGACAATGCCATACAGTGAACATCCCTGAACGTTTACTAAACGTTTTCCTTACGGTTGCCTTTAGGTATGTACCACGCTGTTTTGTACATCAGAACCTGTCCTGGGGAAAATGTATAGTATACAGTTCATTCGTAATGTTTCATTTTGGCATTTGTATATTTCGCATGTAGTTTGATATTTAGCATATAGTATCATCTAATTAGTATATACTGCTGCGTACAAGATATCTATTTTTTAACATCAGCGAAAGTATTTTGTCCTCTCCTACAGCCTTGCTACAGCATGGCATCTAACCAACTTGACTGCTAATCTGCTCAACATTAAAAACACGGTTTCCTACTAGGAGGGCATATTCCCCAAATTGGGGCTTACCTCTAAGTGACCTTTGACTGTATGACTGTTTTCTTAAAGTTGATGTTTAACTTGCTTACCTTTTAGCTTCCCTGGTCTACCCTCTTCGTGCTAATGATTTTTTAAATCTAACCTTTTACGTTTTCATTACATACCCTATTTTACACCCAGTGACGTCACCACTGGGTCTCTGTGCTTCTCTATGCAATGCAGGCAGATTATGTGGAATGGACCATAATGGTGCTGTACATAGCTTCCTTAAAACATCACAGCATTCAACTTAAGTACTCCTCTCAAGAAACCTCAGAGCTGGCTCTTGTAATGAGTTATGCAAATATCAAAATGTCTTGATAGGTGGATGTGATTCTGGAGCATTGGACATAATTAGGCAGGGTGTATTTGTATGCATGCTGCTGTAGGTAATGCTCACATGTGATGATGGCAGGATGCTGAGCCTCCATGGCTGAAGTAATTAAATTACAGTGAATGAAAAAGGTATGCCAGGGAAAGTAAGAATGGAGAAGTCTAGATCAGTGTTTCTCAACCTTTTTTCAGTCAAGGCACCCTTTAAAATTATGCACAGTTTTGAAGCACCCCATTCTAAAATGTAAAAACCGAATAGTTTTATATAACGCAGCAACATCCACACATGTAGGACACCCAACATAAGAGGTGATTAATTCTTCCAGATCAAATACACGTTTGCACACTGGATCTGACTAGTATTTCAATGTTTCTCTCAGAGGGGCAAGGAAGAGTCAAACTAGGATGCTGTGCAGGCACCTGACATCCTCATCAACTGATGAAATTATTGGTTGTCAGGACACCTGTGGCTAGAAGGTCGTAATGGTGCACAATGAAAACCTTTGGCTTCGTGTAACTAAAATGCAGGCTTTTTCCACCTGCTGGCTTGCATACAAGTTTTAGGCAACTTTTAGACATTTTGGAAAGGCACCCCTAAAGAAACATCAAGGCACCCCAGGGTGCCTGGACACCCTGGTTGAGAGGCTGGTCTAGATAATACTAAACATCCTCCACTCAGGTAATGAGGTGGGCTCTAGCTGACTTGCTGCAGTGTCTAATGCACACTGTGAGAAGCTCACAGTGTGCAGTGGAAGAATTTTTAGTGCAGGATAACAGCCCTTGTATAACTGTCCCAGACTGAAGGTCAGCTTTAATTGTGCTCAACATTTTCCCTACTGTGGCCCAAATGCTGTGATAGGTTATTGAGAAAGTGGTGCAGCTTCTAAAAGATCTTCCACAGTCTACTAAATTGTCATATTGACTATCTCATGTATCAGATCTAGACATGTTAATTGAGACCTTTTTAAAACCGGTTTCTAAATGAAAAGTAAAATGCTGGCACGTTATGAATCTTAAATTTGCCTTTAGACATTTTCATAAGCACATTGGGACAATGGAAGCAGAAGGCACTCTGTTCTGCAAATTTCCTCTATTGTAGAGCTGGTCTGCCCTCTCCCACCCCTTGCACCATCTGGTTGACCAGTCAGGGTGGGCATCACAGTGATGGTCCAGCTTAGGTGGGGCAGGATAGCTGAGCAGCACAACTTCATCTGGAAGCACAGGGATTTGCATTAGGATGCCACAGGTGAACCTAAGATTCTCATGTTGTTTGAAGGTAAGCCCGGGCACTTCCAGGTACCAAATTATAATTATTGACCGCTAGCCAAACATTGGCAGGCACACTTTTGTGTGCTTATATGTACATAAAGATATTGTTAATTTTCCATAATCATCACTTTAAAACTAGGCCTAGAACTAGATTACCAGTATAGACAAGTTGCGCTCTGTTCCATTTCACATTATCATGTTCATCATATAAACATGATTCAGGCCTTGGAGGGGAGTTGTTTTCACAGCTCTCAGGAGGAACAAGCACTGTGGTAACCTTGCCAGGGTGATGATACTTATTCAGAGTTTCTGAACAGAGTACGATCTAGGATACACAGGCCATTTTTATTTTTTGCTGTTGAGTGATTTTACCATTTCATTGACTATTTCACTCCCCAGATTGCTGACATATTCTGCAACGTGTAGCAAGAGAGTAAGACAGTCAGCTTTATAATCGTATTTAACGTATGCCTGTACAACCTAATGAGATATAATTGGTCCATCAGCAAATGTTCTCATTTATGTTTTGAGCTTTTTGTACTTTAAAGGGGTTTAAAGAAAAACCCAAATCTTAGAAGGCTTACCCCTCCCATGGCTGACAAATTTTTTTGGATGACAGTTACAACTACAGGGTTTACTTTCAATGCCATTGTTGATGAAATCTAGTCAGTTAAAGCAATATTAAGTCAATCAAAGGTAAGTCAATATTCTGCAATTCCAATCTGTCAAGTCATGTCAGTAACCATGGGATTTGGGTAACTGCTGTTAGATAGAATTCTCCCATATTATTCCAAGATATTCAAGTATCATAAATGATTTCTGCTTTGCTTTGAAATCTAATTTAAGGTAGCATTAGACATAGTGGGCTTTCAGGCAGTGAGAGTAAAGCTTATTGTTGTGGAATATTTTGCTTTTATTAGTTTCTGTAAACTGCTCATATGTATTCTGAGTTTTTTTGTTTTTTTTTTTTTTTCCTTTTTGCTATAAGCGTTGTTACATGTGTTCAATCTAATGTTGTCCCACTAGGATTTGGAAGTAGCTCGGCTTTCGGAAGCAGCTCATCTGGTACCAACTCTTTTGGCTTTGGAACTGCAAATAAACCATCAGGAAGCCTCAGTGCAGGTTTGTATTTCCTTTAAAACAGCTTGTATGTGTAAAAATAAGCATGATGGACCTTCTTTCTCCATCGTCCACAGGAATTCTGGAACTTTTGGGTAAACTGAACCTATCGTACAGTTTTTAAGTGAAAGAAGGTTATACTGACAGGAGGCTAGGACACAGCACATTAAAAAATTGGAAGCCAGCCTCTGTATAACCCCTTCTAACCCTTCTCTACCCAGCATGCCTCATGGTTTTTTGTACTGTCTTTGGAGGTTGTTTTTTTTTTTTTTTTTTTTTTTTCTTATAACACTGCTGGTAGTTTTTTCCTTGATGACTTCCATCAAGAAATCTACTTGAGCTGGTCATTACGTAACAGTTATTTGGATTAGCAGCCTCCTCAGCAATAGATTTAGAGGCTGCTTTCAGTTGCCTATTCCAACTCTTTTGGTGGTGTTTTAGTTCACAGCACGTTGCTGGTGCATGTTATTTTTTTTTGGGTTGAGTCTTTCCTCTTGGTGATCTCTTCTGCCCTGGTCTGAGGATCAGGTTAATCCCCCAGTGATCTCCCATAGTTGTTGGCAGATTCCCTTGTCTTTAAGGGGATTTCACCTCATCTGGTTCCTTCCTGGGTGTGTCAGCCCGCCCCCCCTTCCTTCCCCAGTTGAACTGCTTTGGGACATTCTGAATTCTTGTATCCTTCAATGGCTGGTGGCAAAATAAGAATTTTGTACTTGCCATAAAATCTTTCTCTTTTTTTTCTTTGAAGGACACCGTCTGTTTTCTTTTTGCTGGCCCTGTGTATGCTTTTTCACAGCATTGAGATATGCTAGATAAGAGGGGGTTTTCAGGGGCTGGCTTATGGTTTTCCTATATGCCAGTGTTTCAAACTCCTATAGGCATCAATATAATTCTACTGCTTCTGAATTCCTATTTCCCTGGACTCAAAGAAAAAATTTTTATGGTAAATACAAGAAAGAATACTGGTGGCTCTGGATTAACTTAAAGAGAAACTAGTTAATCAATTTTCTTGTGTAATATTGTAAATCTCCACTTTAAAATTGTTGTAGTAGAGCAGTCTTAACGTTCACTTTCAAGGACTTCTTTATATTTTTTTCATTATTATTGTATTCTCTCCCAGTCAGTGCAGAAGTGCCAGGCTATAAAATCAACCATTTTTTCAGCTTGAGCTCAGTTGTTGAGCACTAAGAAAAGAACATTAAACATTGAAGGTAAAGCGAAAAGGTGCAAGAGAACGTAAGAAAAGCTTTCACAATTTTCTCACCTCCCACAGCATGGACATTATGTCAGTTGTCAGCCCTGAGTTCAAGCACAAGGCAGGCCATCTTTTACATTCTGACATTACACTGACAACTTTGCTCTGAAAGGACGAGATTATAAGCACAAAACACACACAAACACACCCCTGATAGGCAATACTATTATAATTAAGAGTGTATATTCAGTTTTTTAAAGATGGCCAGTCTAGTGAAAAAACACAAATGAGCCCTTTATGCCAACAGTTGACTTTTCACATTGCATTGTGCAAAGCAGTTTGAAACATGTAAAGATTGTTAAAAAAAGACTCCCTTCCAAAAATATGTATATTCCAATATACAGAGCATCCCTAGAAAGTATATACAAATGTCTGTATAAAATACAACCAATCATAACATGAAGTCAAATCTGTAAGTAGCAAAATGAGGAAAAAAATTAATTACAAAAAAAGACCATCAGAACTGGTTCATGTGGCTGGAGAAAAAAAACCCTAATGTCTTTTTTTGTTCTTTTTTTGTTTTTTTTGAGACAGAGAAAGGGACTGAAGACAGTCCCTTTTTCTGTAACCTGGGCTGCACTGTAACGAATGGGATAGGAATCTGTGAATGAATAGGATGGAGGCTCTATACAAGCTACTGATCACTTTGTTCATTCAGAAAAGAAAAGGGGCCGCTAAACACATGTTTACCGCCCCCCTCCTCCCTTGCTCTCCATCCTGATCAGGATCTGTCACTGACAGATCTCCAGTGTCCTGGGCAGCTGCAGCTGGTGAGAGAGGAGGAAGGAAAGCCAGCTAGAAGAGCTGCCTAGGGGGGATGGGCACCAGAGATCGATGAGTTAGGGGGGTGCTGAATGGGGGGTCCCAGCTGGGGGAGACACATACACACAAAAAAAATGTATGTGCCGGCGAGAGTGGCAGTGGAGGGATGCTTGTAATCGCGTCGGATCCACAGAGATCCATGCTGGCGGGGTGTTGCTGATGCTGGGAGTAAGAATCTGTGCTGGGGGGCAGCTGTGAGGGCAGGAGACTGGTGGTGGTGGGGGGAAGTGTGCATTTCAGGGGCTGCAGGAGGGGAGGAAGCAGCAGTGAAGGTGGGGGGAGGAGGGGGTTTGGGGGACATTTTTTATATAGTTAGTCTGGCTGAAAAAAGACAAAAGTCCTACCAGTTCAACCATTAAAAAAAAAAAAAAAAAAGTTATCCTACACCTACAGTTGATCCAGAGGAAGACAAAAAAACCCAAAACATGATCCAAATTGCTCCAGCAGGGGAAAAAATTCCTTCCTGATCCCCCGAGAGGCAATCGGATATTCCCTGGTTCAACCTTACCTATAAATGTTAGTATCCAGTTATATTCTGTGTATCTAAGAAAGAATCCAGGCCTTTTTTTTAAAGCATTTCAAGGAGCTGGCCAGAACCGACTCTTGAGGGAGTCTATTCCACATTTCACAGCTCTCACTGTGAAGAAACCTTTCCATGTTTGAAAATTAAATTTCCTTTCCTCTAGACGTAAAGCGTGCCCCCTTGTCCTCTGTGATGACCTCAGGGGGAATAACTCTACACTGAGTTCACTGATGTATTTATACATGTAGATCATATTCCCCCTTAATCTCCTCTTCTCCAGAGAATAAATTCAGTTCCTCTAATCTTTCCTCATAGCTGATCTCCTCCATGCCTCTTATCAGTTTGGTTGCCCTTCTGCCCAAAACTGAACTGCAGATGAGGTCTTACTAATGATTTGTACAGGGGTAAAATTATATCTCTCTGGAGTCTTTACCTCTTTTAATACAAGAGGGGATTTTGCTCGCTTTAGAAACCGCAGAACCCCCAGATCCTTCTCCACCATTGATTCCCCCAGTTGTACCCCCCTAGTATGTATGATGCATGCATATTCTTAGTCCCCAAGTGCATAACCTTACATTTATCAACATTAAACCTCATTTGTCACATAGTTGCCCAATTAAACAGTGCATTGAGGTCGGCTTGTAAATTGTAGACATCCTGTAAGGACGTTATTCCACTGCACAGCTTGGTGTCGTCTGCAAAAACTGAAATGGTATTTTTAATCCCAGACCCTATATAGTTTATAAATATATTAAAACGTAAGGGTCCCAACACTGAACCTTGGGGTACACCACTGACAACCCTAGACCATTCAGAGTATGAATCATTAACCACTACTCTCTGAATACGATCTTTTAGCCAGTTTTCTATCCATTTACATACAGATTTTTCCAAGCTTGTAGACTTTACCTTACATATTAGCCATGTGTGGGGAACTGTGTCAAACGCTTTTGCAAAATCCAAGTATACCACGTCCACCTCCACCCCACTGTCCAAGGTTTTGCTCACCACCTCATAAAAAAAGATCAGATTTGTTTGACAACTTCTGTCTTTCATGAATCCATGCTGTCTGTTGCTTAAAATATTTTTTTACAGCAAGAACTCATCTGTGTGGTCTTTTATTAAACTCTCCAGTATCTTCCCAATATATTCCCAGTATATTTTAGGTGAATAGCTCTGATCAAATGCTTCTTAGCCGCTAATCAGGGCTATTGTTTTGTTCAGCAGAGTCTGCTGAACATTTTTGCTATAAGTTCACCATAAGCTTATAGCAGAGGAGGAATGTAGGTCCATACGGTGTACAGGCCTGACCTGCTGGAAGCAGTGCTGTAGGTCCATACGCTGTACGGACCTGGCAGTGAATGGGGATAAAGGTGCAAATCGAATTTACTTGAGCGGAAACATGCAGGACAAACTGCAACATGCAGGATATTGTCAGAATACTTCCATGAGAACCGCTCTATTGATTTTTAGATGGATTTTGAAAGCATAATGCAATTAACCTTCATTTCTTCATCCTTAAGTAAATGAGCCCACAGGTAAATGTTACAATAACTGTTCTAAGGGGGCACCCACTGAATACGCAATGGTTCACCTATCTGGGACATTCTAAATCAAGGATGCACAACTAGACTTCTCATGCTCTGTGGTGGCAACAAATTTTGTAAAGAGGAAATCATTTTGATTAGTGAAATGCATCTTGCTGAAGGCTATGTTTCTGTAAAGATGGTTAACTGTCCCTTGGTACAGGGTCCAGCACTTTTAGGTACCAGCAGAATGTGATTGGTAATGAATTGTGATGGAAGTTCTCAATGGCCCATTGGGAAAGGGTGGACTGGAGGTCAGATGGTGTGGGGTTTTAGGTTTTCCTTTGCATGATTGTGAGTGGAATGCTGAATCTTTTCGGGTACAATAGTAGGTAGGCACCTGGAAATACAATGCTATACAGTGCGGGAGGCAGTTAATAACTCATCTCATTAATTGCTATCAACAAATGAGATAAAGACTTGCCATAGACAAGCAGGTGTCATCAAGAGCTGATGTTGAAGAGATGTCTCCTGCCTGCTGGCATCTCTGAAGCACTAGGTACCACAATGACTTTCATATTCGTGCGGCCAAAGGTTTGTTTCCTTTTTCCCACCATGAAGGAAACCATATCCAGATACATAAGATAAAGTCTTAATACAGGCACCTCAGTTTACAAATTTAATGAGTTCTGCGGGACTTTTCATATTGTGAAAGATTCGTAAACCAAAAAGCGGTTTCCCATAAGAATGCATTGACAACCAATTAATCCATTCCGGAGGTCAGAAAAAAAAAAAAAAAAAGTATTTTATCTGTTCAAAACTCTTTATAAAGTGCACTTTAAAGGCATAAATACTGTACAGGGACATGATTAAAAATTAATTCGTAAATACATTGAAAACCAATTAATCCGTTCCGGAGGTCAGAAAAAAGTAAAAAAAAAAAAGTATTATCTGTTCAAAACTCTTTATAAAGTGCAGTTTAAGGGCATAGTACTGTACAGGAACATGATTAAAAAAAAATTTGTAAATGTATTGAAAAACCAATTAATCCGTTCGTATTGTGAAAATTTCGTAAACCGATGCATTATTCTCAATGGATTTTCATTCGTAAACCAAAAATTATGTTAACCAAGGTGTTCGTAAACTGAGGTACGCCTGTATCTCTGAATTTCTGCATATGATAGTGAGTGGTCATTTCAGAAACTTTTCATTACCATGAGCAATCTCACCCCCACATAGCTCAATACTTTCCCATTGTGCACACCCTGATGTATAACTGCAGATATATAATTTGAAAATATGTGAGTGTCTGCTGTGTGGGAAAATCTGGGGCTTTTTTATTTTTTTTTCTGTTTTGATTCTATTTTATATATCTAGGCTAAAACAACGTTTCAAGATCATCTTTCGAGAGAGATGGGATTCTTTGGCCTAAAGATCCATGTTACTACTTAGCACGCTACTGAATGTTACAATACTATTTACAATACAATATTAAAACCGTTTTCTCAGTCCAACTTTGCCTCTGCCTCTTATCTATTTTTTGACAAAGCTTAAAGATCACGTGCTTTTGCCTTTTTGTTATGGTCAGTTTTGTACTTTTTTAAAATGAATGCAGCTTTAAAACTGAACTCCAGACAAGGAGCTGGATCCACATATGAAATACATAAATGATAGCCATTTACTTGCCAAAGGATTTGTAATTTTATCCAGCCACTCTTGAGATTTACAGTCTTGAGATGCTGCACAATCAGTTTGGTGATCTTCCATTTCTCCACTTCAGTAGGTGATACAACATGGTCACCTCCCTGACCCCCAGGGTTATGATTGGCACCCTCCCTATCTTCATAAGTGCATACAGCTGTGCCTAAGTGTCTCAGGGTACTAACCATACCTATGCTAGTCTTAGTGCTGATCTACAGGATTTTTCAGCATGTTAATATAAACACTGATTCTGGTACATATACTACATTGATTATTTCATACACTGGTATTTAATATTCACCAGGAGTTCAGCCTTAAAGCTATTTCAATATATTCTATATCAAACTGTCTTCAAGATAATGGAAATTGTATATTAATTAATTTTGCCCTCAAAACGCTTTCCAGAATTATTTGTTTCTTTTATGCTCACAAACATTATTTGAGAGTATGTTACAGCAACAGCCAAAATTGAGCAATGTATTTCAAGAATTAAGTCTAAATAACTGATGTGAAAAACGTTTCTAAAGGGTTTGATGTTTGTGCCATGTATTCCATTTACAACAGTGATCACTGATCTGTAATGAACTAAAGCTTAAGCCACTTTAATTTCTTTTAATACCATGTGTGTACTCAGCTTGCCTCCTTAACATTACCATTTAGGATTTAAAGTGAACCTGCCACTTAAATATGTGTAACTGGAAATCTGTCATGCTAATCCTATTTTCCCACAATGTTGTCAGGTATTTGGCAGGGCCACACAGAGCCTCATGTGCATTTGTACTGGGCACAAAAGATTTTGTAAGGACAAGACGGATCAGTAGACTTAAGACCAGCTGTTTCCCAGGTCTGTCAGCCTAGGGTGAAACTATATTTAAGTGAGGGGTTCACTTTAAATAACTTTTTGCTGTACTGTGATGTTTTGTCACTTGTGCGACTCACACCAGTTAATGTAGCCATTCCACAATCCAGATATGTGGAGGTGAATGTATAATGTCTTGGCTAGGATAGAGTTATTTAAATGGAAACCCTTTCTCACTTAAATTAATGGTTTCAAATTTATTTTATCCCCTTAAGGATTTGGCACTTCATCTACATCTGGATTTAACTTCAGCAGTCCCGGCATCACTGCATCAGCTGGCTTAACCTTCGGAGTATCTAACCCCTCATCTACCAATTTTGGGACCGGATCACAGCTGCTACAGCTTAAGAAGCCCCCAGTTGGAAACAAGCGAGGGAAAAGATAGACATTTTAGAGAGAGAGATGTTAGCTAGTACATTTGAAGATCTATTTTTCTAAACATGTGCTCTAATTGTTCCCTAAGAGATTTATAAAGTTTTTGATATTTTTTTTTCCTCCAATGTTTTCATGTCTGAAAGCCACTGATGTGTTTGTACCAATGTCGTACTCTATAATATCTTCTCTTGGAGGCTGTGATGACAACAGCGCACTGAACTGCACATCAACATTTCACAACTATCTTTTTAGTAGCTTGTCAGCTGCTATTGCACATATTGTATGAGTTATAAGTGGTTTCATCAATGAGTGTTACCAGTGAAGTTTTGCATAGTTTTATTTTTTTTTCTGCAGGTATTTTTATTATGTGGATTTGTACAGATGGTTAGCTGACATTGTGGCTGTTAACTGTGGTTTAGTGACTGCTGCAGTGGATGTGGTTGTGTACAGTGTACCTGGTTTTAGAGAGACCACACTAAGTCTCTGTAGGGGACACTGACCTCTGTGACAACTGCAAGAATTGGAGAACCAGATCCTCAAAGGTTTACTTTTTAATATTTTGTGGTGGCATGTGCTATTTTCCTTGGCCTTGAAAGTTGTTTGGTAACCCAACAATGTGATTATGCTTCAGTCGCAGAGCAACTGTGGCAAATTTAAGTTGCTTTTTCAGCTGAGCTGCCATTGTCAAATGCCTAAATCAAGTGCTTTCTCCGTAGTAACACTAGGGAAACTCTCAACGACTGGTATCTCTGGTGCAGTTTGCCTGCCATAGCCATTATGGGAATGAATATACTTTTGTTGCGGGTCCTGGCAGAATAGAGGAAGGTTGTTCCGCTGTTTAAAATACAGATGTTGGCTATACCCAAACCCATACAACTTCAACTGCACTCTGCTTTCAGAGTGTACTGAACAAAGCCCCAATTGCAAACTCAATCCTTTTTTTTTCACCAGTTAACTAGCTATGAACCCTGCCATGTATAGGTTATCTGATCTGTAGCACTTAATTGTAAAATAGCACACGGTACAGGAGGTTAAATCATGATTTCAACTGTATAAATAGTTCAAACCAATCACTTCTGGTATATTATGCTTTGTGTAGGCTTTAAAGTGACCCTTTCCTTTACCCAGGTAAGGCAAATTATAAAGGCTTAACAGGTATATTTTTATATGGTCAATATAAGATCAAGATTTATTTAAGCTCTCTTACATAAAATGTGGCAAAGACGTGCTCAGTAAATTCAAAATATAAGTCTACAAGACTGCTTAGCCCTGGAAGAAAATGTAGTTTTATATATAGTTTCTGTCCTTTGAACGTGATATTTTCCAATAGAAGAGTGGAGTGCATTATAATTGTGTGCGATGCCGTCCTGACAACACCGAGCCATTCTTTTTATTTGAAATAACATCACTCCATCTTCAACCTCCCGAGAGATATTGGATGTATTTTAAAGAGTGTAAATAACATTCATAGGTCTTGGTTATCTTTTAATTATGGAGGTTAATAAAGTGTCCCATATAAATCCTTTTGGAGGTGTATATATGCAGTATGCTCAGACCAAACCACCATTTCCACATACAGCGACATGTTTTCTTATTTTGTTTTTTCCATTGTGGCCACAGATAGTCAAGCAGCTATCTTCCTGTGTTGACCCAATAAGCCTGATAATATGGTCTATCAGTTCATCAAGTGCATAGGTGTCCCTGAGTACTGGAACTTTGGCTTCTAGTGAACAGACTTCTTATAAATTTCCTGCCTCAGCTTTGTGCAGTTGATGGCCTATGTGTATTTTTTGTTTTTGTTCCCCAATGATTGCTTTGGATTTACTTTTAATTGCTTTTTTGTTTCACAGTTATAGTTGTGTGTATTTTTTTTTGTAATAAACTGGTAGGCATACCTTTTTTTTGACTTGCATGTTTTTTCACTTTAGTATATGTATATATGCCTGTATATGTCCTTCATTCTGAATATGTATATAAAACTGGAGTCATAAACTATCATTTCTGTAGCATGTCTGCTTTTCTCACAATTGCTTTTACTAGATGATCAGTTTTCTGTTATAGTAAATTTTTATTGTATTCATAGAAATTGAGCAAGGCACTTCATCACACAGGGTATGTTTCCTTCAGTGATAAACTTAATAGGCTATGGGACAGATAATGCATAAACAAAGAAGAATTGTAGGAGCCTGCTAGTGTGGATTCACACAAGAAGCTCTGTTTTCACAGCAAATTGACAAAGTAGTTCAGAGGTTCAGGACCAGTTTAGATGCGTATCAGGATAGGATTTTTGATACAGCTGCAAATTCTGTACAAAGTGGTTGTTGAGCGATTTAGGACAGGTTTAGATGCAGTTCAGAAGAATTCCCATAGAAGTCATTGAGACTGTAATTCGCTTCTGAACTGGACCGCACAACTCAGAAATCAGACAGGACTCTTTGAATTCGCACTGCGGGTGCATCGCATGTATAAGAACAGGCACAATAGAAAGCCATGTAATTTCACATCATGTAAATTGGATGCAATTCAAAAGGCATACAATTCACATATATGTGAACCAGCCCTGAATTCGCACTGCTGGTGCACCATATACAGTGCTCAGCATAAATGAGTAAGTACACCTCTTTTTGAAATGTAAGATTTTAATTAATATCTAAATGAACACAAGAACAATTTCCAAAATTTTGACAAAACTGAATTTTATAGAATATTTTTTTTACTCCTATGAAAGGTTAATATTATTATACAGCGCCAACAGTTTGCTCAGCGCTTTACAATATAATGGGAGACAATACAGCAACAATACAGTTCAATACAAGAGGGATACAAGGACCCTGCTATCCCTATAACTTAATTACAAAATGTTCAGTTTTACGCCAGTTAGTTGATGCAAAAATGAATACACCCCACAACAAAAACTACTAGATCTAGTATTTTGTATGACCTCCAGGATTTGTAAGGACAGCACCAAGTCTTCTAGCCAAGCAATGAATAAGTTGGCGACACATCTATCTTTTTCCACTCTTCAAGAACGACTTCTCTTAGAGCCTGGATGCTGGATGGAGAGTGATGCTCAAATTGTCTCTTCAGAATTCCCCATAGGTTTTCGATTGATTTAGTGACCAAGTATGTCTCTTGATCTGAACCCACTTTCACCCTGTTCTTCAGAAGTGCAACAAAGGCCTTAGATGTGTGTTTTGGATCATTGTCATGTTGGAAAAGTGCATGACAACCAAGGGCACGGAGTGATGGTAGCTTCTTCTTTCTATATATAGAGCAGTACATCTGTGAATTCATGATACCATCAGTAAAATGCAGCTCCCCAACACTAGCAGCACTTATGCAGCCCCACAGAAAGACACTTCCACCATCATGTTTCAGTATAGACACCATGCATTTTCCTTTGTACTCCTCACCTTTGCGATGCCATACAGTTTTGAAGCCATTAGTTCCAAGAACATTTATCTTGGTCTCATCACTCCAGAATGCAGTCCCAGAAGTCTTCTTTTTCAGCTTGGGCCCTGGCAAATTCTAGGTGGGCTTTTTTGTGAATGGGCTTTAGGAGAGGCTTCCTTTGTGGACGACACCCATGCATGCCATTCCTCTGCAGTGTATGCTGGGAAACAATCGCCCTATTTTGGCTTTCTTCTTTAGCGAACTGCAGTGAACTTGCATGGTGATTTTCTTCAACCCTTCTCATCAGAAGATGCTTCTGTCGAGGTTTTAACTTCAGTGGACGTCTCTGAGATGGTCGCAGTTCCATCTTTGTTACATTTTTGTATCACTTTTATTACAGTATTCTGACTGATAAATAAAGCTTTGCTGATCTTGTAGCCTTCACCTTCCTTCTGTATTTTCTTTCTCAGGCTATGTGATATTTCTCTTCCATGTCGTACCATTGGTGACAGCATGAAATAGGAAGGGGTTTTCTTTAAGTAGCACCCTTTATAATCAACTGTCTGCTGGACACCTGTTAATGAATAATTAGACTCACCTGTAGTTGAATTCTTGTTAATTAGGATTTTGTTTTCTAAAATTTAGCTTTGCTCCTAAGACTTTAATTGGGGTGTATTCATTTTTGCAACATGGTCTTGAATTAATTTGTTAGGAAAAATACTTTTTTGTGTGTCCAAATTAACAAATCTTGTTTACAATCAATGGTTTGCATTTGTAGGAGTATTTTGTAGTATAGTGCCCCATACAAAATGTTGATTCTGAAAGGAAAGTAAAGGTTTTTTGACAAATCTGTTAGGGTGTACTGTGTTGAGCATTGTATATGTGAACAGGCACAATAGAAAGCAATGTTATTTCACATGGCATGTGAATTGGATGCGATTCAAAACACATACAATCTGCATATATGTGAACCGGCCCTGAGTTCGCACTGGGTGCACCACATATATGTGAACAGGCACAACAGAAAGCAATGTTATTTCCCATGTCATGCAAATTTAATGCGGTTCAAAACTCCTCCAGTCTGCATATATGTGAACCTGTCCTTAACATGAGGTTAATACCCTGCGGGTGATGGTTTACGTTAGCTCAGTAGAAAGGTTCATTGGTGCTACATAGTCAAATAGAGACAGATGATCAAAAAAAAAAAAGAACATACAAGAAAGGTGAAGGTACACACGTGCGGAAAATGGAAGGGGGGTGTAGAGGGGGGGGGGGGGGGGGGAGGGGGAGAAAAGAGTAGGGAGTTGGTAGCCCAGCTGGTATAGTTGCAAGCTATAAAAATCCTGAAATAGTGAACAATGTTTGGATATAATATGTGGAGGCATGTAATGTGCATACTGTAGTCATGCTTAAAACGGAGATCCACCCAAAAGGGGAAGTTCCACTTTAGGCCTTTGTCCCCCGCTCCCCATTAAGGATTGGCACCTTTGAGAAGCAAGTTGTCCTCCCCCAACACCCCCCCCCCCCCCCCCGTAGTCTTCTGGGACCTTTCACAAAGCGCAGCGCTTCTTGTGCATGCGCAGTGGGCACCCATCTGTGAAGCCGCAAGCTGTCACAGCCGGGTGCACACACTGGATATGCCGGTGCCAGGGAGAGAAGATGGCTGGTGAAACCAGACGTGGTGAGGACACTGCTGGACTGAGGGACAGGTAAGTGTCTGTGTTTTAAAAGTCAACAGCTACAGTTTTTGTAACTGACTTTTTTTTTTTTTTTATAAATTGCTCGAACATTCACATCTCAAGACAAGCTTTCAAAGTACTCCCCTTTTCTAAGGTCCAAGCAGTAATTCTGGACCTTAGGAAAAGGGATATACTCTGAAAGCTGAAAATTTGAATGTTAGTGCTAATAAAGTATCAGGTACACATGGTTTTATTGCATAGTCATGTAATATTGCTGAAATGTTTTCATTTAATAAGTACCAAGACATCTTCCACTTAACCTATTCTACTGTTGATATAGCCCATTTCCTTTTCATATTCTAAGTTTGCTTAAAAGTCATAAAGACAAAAGATACAGGTTTAAATTGAGAGCTAGCACACCTCAGGTTTTAGGTTTAATAGGGCCTCCCGTGGATTCTTCTGAATACTTTTCCCCAAAATCATATCAGTTGGTAAACATCAATCCAGTAGTGTCTGATTTTAGGGGAGTCAAAAACATGACCCAGCGTAGCTTTTTATTTGCAAAAGCTGAACAATCTGGAAAGAAGGTGGTTTATGGTTCTTTTTTTTTTGTAAAGGGTAGTCCTATTTACATTGTAGGCCACATATTATCCAAAGTTGTATGAAATGTGGTTTAAGTCCTGGGAAAACGTCAGGATTGTGTACAATGTTTGCTAGAGGAAGGTGTGGGGAGAATAGTCTACCTTGTTATTTGACTGTATCCCAAATTTTTAAAGAATACTTAAAAATGTGATAGTTTATATATTTGTTGAGAGGGCAGAATCCATAACAAGGTGTCAGTAGCAATAGGGCAGATTCTGCTGCTTCCAAGCTTACCCAAAGAGGAGCCCCTGGTGTTGCGGGAAAGCAGATGTCCATCATATCTCTATCATTATGTGGCCCGGAGATACAGTATGAGAGTCCACTGTGCCATCTGTTGAAGGCGGTTTAGAAATGTTGTGTTGGAAACCCCTGAAAGTGAATTAAGGCACAATGAAGTATGCACAATATGTAGGTCAGAATGCCAATTAGTAAGACAACTGTGAATATAAAATATATGGGAACAGGGACATTTTGAGTACAGTAGTGGTGTCAAACAGCAAAATATGGTAGTGTTTCCAGGATTCAAGGAGTTGCTTAGTTTGTTTTATGAGGGCCAAGATATTTGTTGGGTATGGTGTATCTTGACTGGACATAATGTGAACCCCGAGATATTGCATGCTTGTTTTCCACTGAAAGACTAGTTGGAGGCCCAAATGTTTTGTAAGTTTAATGTTCAGTGCTTTGGATTTGCTTTGGCTTGGAGACTTGAAATTGATTGGACATTAGAAGTGTTAAATTAAAAGTGAGATTGAGGGGGGTTAGTCAGAAAGAGATTGGTATAATTCGGGAACGTAAAAACTTTGGTTACATCCTGCTACCTCTAAGCCTCTTATGTCTGAGTTGCAACAGATAGCTGGTGCTAAGGGCTCAAGTGCCAGGGCAAACAGAACAGGGGAGATGGAGCACCTTAGGTGTATGACACTAGAGATTATGAATCGTGGGAAGCAGAAGCCTGTATATTGATTTAAGTGGATAGATGATTAATTTGAAATAGACAGCTTATTTAATATGGCAAAAAACAATGTTATATATGCCATAAACCATTGGCATTAGACTTTCCAGCTTCTCCATAAGCTGAAATCTGAAGCTTTCATTTACAACCCTTTGTATATAATATTACACAGAAATCTGCTTAGAGATGTCTTTTTCTTCACATAAGTGAACTTTTTGAACTGGGTCTGTTCAAGCACATATGGGATGGGGATAGGGGGGATGACATTTTGGAGATGCTGCAGTTTGAACCTGACAGAGTGATAATTTTTTTTTTTTTTTTGTTACTGTGCAACTTGCTAATTCTGAGCCAAAAGTGAGACAGAAGCTTCAATGTGAGCTCCAACTTAGGAGCTATGTCTCAACCACTCCCTTTTGCTGGCACACAGCCTAGTGGAGTACATCATTGCCCACTAATAGCGTTTGGATTTTGATATTGGCAATTTGGGTTGAGGCACAGAATCAAGTCCAAAGATTGATCAGTGCCTTGCATTTTTTTTTTTTTTTTTTTTTTTTTTTTTAATCGTGCAGCCTTTCCTGACCAAGATTCCTCCAGAGCAGTGCTTTTCAAAATTTTTTTAGTCAAGGCACTCTTTAAAATTCTGCACAAACTCGAGGCATCCATTACAAAATGTAAAAAACTAAACTAATAGTTCTACAGACCTCAGCAACATCTACATCTAATGTTAGAGGCAATTGATTCTTCCAAAGCAAATACACTTTTGCACACTATTACTGACTAGTATTCCATTGTTTCTCTTCTCCTTCAGTTTCTCTCTCAGCTAATGTGACATCAGTACTGATGGAGAGGGGCAATCAGGAATGCTGTGTAGGAGTCAGATGTCTTCCTAATCAACTGATTAGATCATTGGTTATGTCACTGGCTGCTAGAAAATTGTATTGGTGCACACTGAATAACTGTGCCTTTATGTAACTAAAAGGCAGGCTTGATCCACCTGCTGGCGTGTATACAATTTATGGAACAATTTTTAGGCATTTTGCCATGGCACCCCTAAAGACTAGGCACCCTGGTTGAAAAAGGCTGCTCCAGAGGTTGTTAGGGGTTTCTTGACCAATGATCCTTTGGCTTTCTGTAAGGTGGTAGTCTTCTGAGCACTAGTGTAATGGAGCCCTTCTCCCCTAACTCCCAATGATCACTAGTGTAATAAAATATACACAACATTTCTTACACTTATTTTTTTGATCTTTGTTTTGATCTTTTGAGGTCTTTTTTTTTGCATAAATGTACCATAAGATATAGATTTAACAGGGCTTCCCTACATTTGCTGGAAACTTTTTTTCAAAAGTGTCTCCACGTTATGAAGGTTGAGAGAGGCTGAACTAGAGATTAAGTCCATCAGCATGATTTAATGCCTACTGCATGCATAGTAAACCGAATAGGTCATCTTTGTAGACACTTTAATGAACAGATCCTCAAACCACATGGCTTGGGTATGACTGTGTGTACAGATGCAGCTTGGGTACTGCATAAATAAAGGTTGCTGTACACATACTCAAGACTAGTAAAGTAAACTTGTACTAGCAAAACTAGGCAAAGTAACAGATTTATTTACAAGAGACCGGGTAAGCAGCCAGTACTTCCATTCACCACACTTACCTGCCACCAGCCTTGCCTGAGAATTTCCCCCATTTCCAGCTATAGAGGACAAGTTGGATTTGATTTAAATCACTAGTGAAAAGGCTCGATTTAAATCATAATTTTTAAAGAGCAACTGTCATCTCTGTCCTGTAGTGGCTCCTCTTCTGACCCGCTGTTGACTCACCGACAGTCCCTTTCACTTTAATGGGACGG